TACCATTTTAGGAAATTAACACACACAGGGCATGTTTTTCAAGGACACTCACATATCTAAGTGACTCTGGAAGGTGGATTGCCAGGAATGGTATGAAGTAGGGTGAGGGGTGAGGGGTGAGGATGGATGGAGAGTGTGTGTGAATGGCACAGGGGCAGAGGTTGGCCGACTCCAGGGTGAGGGCTGTGTTTACATTTTTAAGTGGCTGGAAAAATAATTAAAAGAAGGATTCCATTTGGGACACATGGAAATGATATGAAATTGACGTTTCGGTGTCCACACACCAAGTTTTCTTGGCACACAGCCATGCTCGTTTATTAATACATATATATTTATTAATATATATATATATTTAAAATATATATTTTATTGATTTTTAAAAAATATATTTTTATTGATTTTTTTGTAGAGAGAAAGGGAGAGAGATAGAGAGCTAGAAATGTCGATGAGAGAGAAACATCGACCAGCTGCCAATGTACATGCCCCTGACCGGAATCGAACCTGGGACCTTTCAATCCACAGACCGACGCTCTACCACTGAGCCAAACCGGTTTCGGCTATTTTATTGATTTTTTACAGAGAGGAAGAGAAAGGGATAGAGAATTAGAAACATCAATGAGAGAGAATCATCGATCAGCTGCCTCTTGCATCACCCCTACAAGGGATGTGCCCGCAACCAAGGTACATGCCCTTGACCGGAATCGAACACGGGACCTGTCAGTTTGCAGGCCGACTCTCTATCCACTGAGCCAAACCGGTCTCGGCCATTAATATTTATATTGTTTACGTCTGTTTTCATGTTACAAAGGCACCAAATTAATGAAAATGTACACACTAAAAATAGACACTTTGGCCAAGCCCGGGTGGCTCAGTTGGTTGAACATCATCCTGGGCACTGAGGGGTTACTGGTTCATATCTGGGTTGTGGGTTTGATCTCCGGTTGGGGCACATATGGAAGGCAACTAATCAATGTTCTCTCTCTTGTCTCTCTCTCTCTCCCCCTTTCTTGGGTGAGGATTAAAAGAAATAATAATAAAATTTAAAAATGCACACTTTTGCCCTGGCTGGGCAGTTCACTTGGTTAGAGTGTCGTTCTGATACGCCAAGATTGCAGGTTTGATTCCCCATCAGGGCACATACAGGAATCAACCAATGAATGCATAAATAAGTGGAACAAGAAATCAATGTTCTCTCTCCCTCTCAAACCAATAAAAATAAAGAATGTCCAAAGTTGTAGGGAATTTTTAAAAATTAAAAAAAAATATATATATATATATAATATATATACATTTTTTTATTTAATATACCTTAATAAAACTGGGGAAGAAAAAGAACAGAGTAAATTGAGTTATTGCAACATAGATCATACAGCCCACAAAACTGAAAATATTTACTGACTCTCATCACTGAGGCTGGAAAAGATGATGAAAAAGAGTAAAGTAAAACAACAGCAGTGTGGTCACCATGGGCAGCAGAAATTTCATTATCTCAGGTTTGGGCCCCTTAAGTCCAAAAGAAATTGTTAAAAATGTAAATTACGGGTCAACCCAGCCAGTGTCGGGTGGGGGGAGCCTAAGGGGGGTGAAGCGATTTGGAATCAGACAACAGGAGCCGCAGACAGCCCTTTAGAAACGGCCCTGAGAAAACAGCCCAGAGGATACGAATGTTGCCGAGGAAGGACGCTGGCGAGGAAGGACGCTGGCGCCGTAAGGAGAGTAAAGAATGAAGTGGTGGCTCAAAACAAAAAGGCGCCTCCCACAAATTCCTACTGACGTCAGAAAACGTCCCTGGGATGTCGTTATAGTGAAATGACAAATCCCGGCTGCAGGACCTGTGGGCAAATCCCTAACCTGCCTGAGCCTCAGTCTCCTCATCTCTAACATGGGGATTAAAAACACCCCTCCTTATATAGGTGCTGGGGATTTGAATGAATTAAAATATGAAAAGGGAATCAAATAATGCCTATAGTAAGGGCAGCCTAAATGCTTTAAAAAGTAAAATGAAGAGAAACAACAAATTCCAAGTTCTATGTTCCAGAATTGAAAAATACATATCATTTTGTGTTAAATAATTCAGAAGGAGTCCTAGCCAGTCTGGCTCCGTGGACAGAGCACTGGCCTGTGGACGGAAGGGTCCCAGGTTTGATTCTGGCTACAGCACATGCCTGGGTTGCAGGTTTGATTCCCATGGTGGGGACATGCAGGAGGTAGCCAATCAATAATTCTCTCTAAAAAAATAAATGATAATAATTCTCTCTCATCATTGATGTTTCCATCTCTCTTCCTTTCTGAAATCAATAAAGAACATATAAAAAAAATTCAGGAGGAAAGAAGCAGAAGTGTTGACAGCAGCTGCGTCTGGGTGGTGGTAGGTTTATGGGAGTTTTATTTTGTGTTCTAGATTTTTCTCTACTTCCCAAAGCTTCCACAAAGAATATGAATTGCTGATATGTTTCAGACAAGAAATACGTTTCAAACAAGAGCAGAGAGAATAATTTCAAAGACTTGGAGGGGCCACAGCTATGCATGTGTCTGGCTGCCCTCTCTTCCCTTGACCTCCGTGGTGCCTTTGCCAGATTGGGGACAGGACTTTGGGGTTCTCCAGGCTTTTCCAGCCCGAGGGGAAGACTGCCCTTCAATGGCGGTGAGCAAACTCTACAAAGCGGAGAGGTTGGGCTCCTTCTTGCCTCTTCCTCCAGGGAGCCCTCCCTGACCTACACATCTAGCTGACCTACCTAAGCAAATACCTAGTCCAAATACGTATCAAGTCCTCTTAGCATTTTATCTCATTTTATTTCTCATATTGCTCTTCCCCAGCCTAGAAACCAGGGAGGACCTTCCCCTGATGCTCAGGCTATCCTGCACCCCGCTTCCCTAGCCTCATCTTATTCCGGTCTGTTTGGCTGCACCTATACCCTCCTCACCTCAGGGCCTCCCCCTGCTGTGCCCCCTCCCCGAACACTCTTCTTCCCACTTCGTTGCCCTCTGACTGCTTCTTTCCTTCCACATCTTGGTTCAGAGTCCACAGCTGACCCTTGAGCACCCTTTGTGTGTCTGGTGCCACACGGAACATGAACGGATGCATTTAAGCCTCATATTAATCTGGTGACACCGGGCTGTCAAGACCCCCCGTTTGCAAATGAGACACAGAGAGGTTAAATAAATTGCTCAAGGGCGCAGAGCTAGGGAGCAGGGAAGCCCAGCCCCCCGCGCCCCGTCCCCCTCTCCCCCATCGAACACGTATCTGCCTCAAACACGGATTCTCTGAAATAATTCTTCACTTGTTTGTTGTGGCCTCCTATTTGTTTATCGCAGGGGCTTTTGTCTATCTTGTGCACCGCTGTGTCCCCAGTGCCTAGAAGCGTTGGCACATCACAGGCGCTCTGTAAACATCTGCTGAATGAGCAGACTTGGAAATGAACGAGCTCAGTGGGCCTGGCTGCAGCAAGAAGGAGTTAAGTGAGACACAAGGAAGCACTGCCGGGGAGGACACCACTGTCTGTGTGTCCCGACGGCAGGAGGTCCCATGACTGCCCTGGGAGGCATGTCTGGAATGGAGGTTGCCTCTCAGAGGTCCTGAGGTTGGGCCAGGCGGGGCTCCTGGCTGAAGGCCAGAGTCGCAGAGCTGGGTGTTTGGAATAGATACAGCACAGAGGGGTGGTGCCCGGAGCTGGCCAGAAACAACATGGAAAAACAAGAAAACACAGCTGCGTCCCCGCCCTCCAGCTGTGCCCTCAGGTCCCACCACGACGCCCTGGGCACCTTAGATCTGAGGTTGGCATGAGAACCTGGGTCCCCCCAGTGAGCCCTGCTGCAGGTTCAAGCTAACGTCGGCTTGGATCCTGCTTCGGCCGCTTCCTGGCTGCGTGACATGGGCAAGTGCAGCTTCTCCCCAAGCCCCCGTCTCCCCGGCTATAAACAGAGCTGGCCTGAGAATCATCAGACGCAGACACAAGCACTGATGGAGGGCTCCCTGTGCGCGCTAATTCACAAGCATCCTGGAGGGGCTGTGATTATGCCGCTTCACAGAGAGGGAGGCCGAGGCCCTGCGAGAGCCGCTCGCTCAGGGACACACACAAGAAGTGGAATTTCAACCCAGGTTGTCTGGCTGCACAGCCCTGCCTTCAGCCCGCTCTGGGCGAAACGCTTCGCACAGCACCCAGCTCCCGGCTGGTATCCGATAAAGAACAGCTGCTGTTGTTATTATTATGAATCATCCTGGCAGCGTCTCCGGGAGCCCCAGGGTGGCAGTGGTAGGCAGCTGCCATGCTGTACAACCCACATCCCCTTTCTGGGCATGAAGACTCAGCACTTCCTACAGGGAGCACCCTCAGGACTTGGCTGCAGCACCTGGGTGGGGCTCCCCTACCCCAAGGGCCAGGCCGTGAGGGTCAGCGATGAGCTCAGTGTGGGGCATGTGACCCCAGCTGGCGATGATGCCACCTCCGGGGTTTTATTGGCAGTGTTTGGACGGAGGGCTCCCTTCCCACTGAGCTGCAAGCACAGAGGCGCAGAGCGGGGGGTGTGTGTGTGTGTGTGTGTGTGTCACCTTTGCTGGTCTAAAACAGAAGCCTCGAGGGTGCAGAGAGGAAGAGAAAGAAGGAAAGAGCCAAGAGCACCAGGATCCAGCCATGCCTGAAGCTGTCCCTGAGTTACATTTCCTTTCCATTCCTTGAACTGGTCTGCTATTGCGTCCTACCACTTAACTGAGCAAACAGGGAGGGTGTTTTGCTCAGCAAACCAAGTCCTGGGGAGATCCTTCAAATACTTTGTCTTCTGGACACTTCCAGTGTACGAGGCACGAGAACGTACATTTAACAGACACCCAGGTGCTCGGCACGATCCCCACACACTGAGTTGGTGGCACAGTTTCGCCCTCTTTGTGCAGAGGAGGAAAGATGGGGATGGATCTGTCTGGTGGAAGGCCGGGCCCGGGGCTGGGCCCTACTGCTCCGACAAAGAGCGAGGGCCCCTCCCCGGTCCCCGCCCGGGATGCTCACCTGCCGCGCCGTTGCAGCTCGGCTCCGTGATGCTGATCTTCTTCACCAGGTGGACGTGGCCCGGGGCTGCCGCGGGCGAGGAGAAGGCCGCCTCCACCACTTCGTGGCTCCGGAACACGGGGCGGCTCTCGGGCCCTCCGGGGGTCACCAGGGCCCGCAGCCCCGCCCCGTAGGGCTCCAGGCTCTGGGCCCGCTGCGCGGGGGCCCCGGCGGCTGTGCTGGCCGCCACCTCCACCTCCCGAGGTCCCTCCACCACGCGGACGGTGTCCACGCGGACGGGGCTGTCGGGCGGGGGCCAGGCCTGGGCCTGGGGCTGGGGGCCGGCCTGCCGGGCCTGAGCCGCCTGCAGCTCCTGGAGCGCCTTCTTGAGCTGGGTCTCCAGCACCGCGACCTTGGCGGCCAGGGCCACCTCCCCGTCGGGCACGCCCAGGTCCCGCTCGCGGACCCAGGTGCCCACGCTCCGCGTCTCCGGCGGCGGCGGCGGCGGCGGCGGCGGCGCCGGGTCCTCGGGAGCCTCGGGGAGGTCGAGGCAGAGCTCGCTGCGGCCCCGGGCCCCCGAGGGGTGGCCCAGGAACTTCTGGCTCTTGAGCTGCACCGTGAGCTGCCGCTTCTCCTCCTGCAGCACCGACAGCTTCACCTGCAGCACGGGGATCAGCTTCACCTGCTCCTCCAGCTGCCGCAGCTTCCGCAGGGCGCCCGCCATCTGCTCCCGGACGTGGGCCAGGTGCCCGGCGCTGGGCGGCACGGGCGTGGACATGCCCGAGCCCCGGGGCGTGGGGGGCGGCAGCCCCACCCCCACCAGGGAGCTGGTGGAGCTGGCGGCGCTGGGGGCCAGGGAGCCCAGGCCCGCGGGCGCGGCGGCCTGGTCCTCCAGGCGGCGCCGGGCGTCCAGCAGGGTGCGCTCCACCCGGGGGTTGAAGCCGCCGCCGCGGGCCTCCAGGGCGCCGTACTGCGGGTAGAAGCCGCGGCCGCAGTAGGAGTAGGCCGAGTGGCGGCTGTCGGCGCTGGCGTTGGAGCACAGCGACTCGGTGGAGGTCCACCAGGAGCCGGGGCCGCGGGGCAGCGAGCCCAGGCGCGGCCGGCGCTGCACGGCCACCCGGCGCAGCGTGTGGCCCTTCTCGATGTCGTCCACGTACTTGAGGAAGTCCAGGTCCAGGCGGTAGCCATAGGGCGTCTCCACCGAGTAGGGAGGCTCGGTCTCCTTCGGGGGGAAGGCCGGCGGGGAGGCTGGGCCAGGGGTCCCTAGGGCGGGCGGAACGCTAAGGCTGCTGTCCTCGGCGGGGAAGACTGAGGCCCCCCCTTTCTCCCCCCCCACACCTCCACCTTCTCTCCCAGAGTCAAGAGATGGGAGCCTGCAGGCCCTCAGCAGCTAAACTGGGTCTTCAGGCTCAGCCCCGCCCCCCCCCCCCCCCCCACACACACACACAGGGCCATCTCCTTCTCTGACCCTCCAGGACAGTCAGGTTGTCTACATTCAGGCCCTCAAGGGCTATGTTCCAGCCACCCCCACCCCAGGTAGGGCCCTCTCTCTCCCCCAAGACCCCTCTCCCCGCCCTCAGGCCTCCAGGGCTGGCCCACATCCCGTCCCACCGCCTGGCAGGAGTCTGACCTGGAAAGGGGGCGGGCACGTGCAGGACTTGGGCCATCCTCCCCTCCGTAGATGCTCCTCAAGCGTCCGGGTGGCCTGGAGTCAGACTGCCTTCAGCACCGGCTGAGGCTCACCTGGGGAGGGGGCGTGGAGAGGGAGTCAGGAAGGGTCTGCAGGGGGAGGGGAGGGGATGTGGCCACCACCCGGTCCCAGGTCAGGACCCTTGTGTAGGCGTACACCCAGCCACGCTGTGGAAAGGGCTGGGTGAGGGCCCTGGGGCCTAGAACAAAGGAACCAAACCTCCCAGCCTGCCTGCACATCTGTCCAGCCGCTGGACAGTCTCCAGCTGTCCCCAAAGCCCGCCTCCACAAGGCCCCCAGGCTAGGAGCCCCAAGACCTACAAGCCCACCCTTCCTGCACCCCCTTCCCTCAGCCCAGGCCAGGCGCAGGTCTGGGGTCAGATGGGGGCTGAGGTTGGCAGGGGGCTGGGGTGCTAATAGGGGGACAGCTACCCTGTAAGAGACCCAGAGACAAAAAAAAAGAAAAAAAAAAAAGAGAGAGCTACAGCTCAGGGTAGGGGACCCCAAAATAGAGCTGGGTCAGGGAAGTCGGGGGAGAGAGGGTAGGGAAAATTGTGGGGAGGCAGTGAGGAGCAAAGCTTTTCCCCTTTATGGAAACAATTTTCTCTAAAAATAAACAATTTCGCTGCCGGGCTACACGAGAACTTCCTGCCCACCCCCAGGACACGTCCGGCTGGGGAGAGGGGTGCCCAGCAGCAGGGGCGGTGGCCCGGGAAGTCATGGGGGTATGAGGAGGAAGTCAGAGGGGGCGCCTGGAGGCTGCAAAGGGGAGGGACAATCAGGGCCTCTCACTCCCCCCTCCCCCCCAATCCTGGAGTCCAGCCAGGGTCCTTTTGTCCCAAACACTCCGTCTGAGCCTAGCCAGTCCTCCCTGCTGTCTGACCTCCAGCTACCCCACTGCAGAGGCCAGGCCCACCCCACCGCCCAGGAAACCCCTTACCAGCCCGTGGGTGCAGAGCAGTGGGTACCTGGGAGGACGGGCCAGGCGGGACACCGGCTGGGCATGAAGGCGGGGCTGGGGCTCCGGGGGCTGCCAAGCTGGTCCTTTTCTCACACCCAGTGTCTCTCGTCGGTCAGTCAGCGTCTCGCTTTCTCTCTCTCCACGTCTCTGGCTCTGTGTCTCTCTCAGTACTTCCTTCTCCCTGTCTCTCCACGTCTCTGTCCTCGCTTCTCTGTCTTGCAACACCTGGAACACGTAGCCACCAAACGTAGGAAGGTTGGTTTCCCACCTGCCTGGAGGCTCCCCTCCTCTCTATGGGACAGGATTACAAATAATTTCTGGGGACCCGAGAGAGTGGGAGGCAGGGTGCGGGATTGGACAGCCTGTGGGGGCGCCTGGAGGTGGGCAGGGATGGGGTGAATAATAGCAACAACACTGATCTGTGCATCAGACAAACCCACCCCACCAGATGGGGAATGGGGAGGCACGGAAATGTGCAATGACTTGTCCCGGGTCACTGGGTGGGTAAAGGGCTGGTCCTGGGTTTGAACCTAAGCCTCACAGATTTCCCCCCACCCCTGCAGGCCTAGCCACCCTCCCCCGAATTCCACATCCCTCCCGCCCATTTCCCAGGCAGAGAGTGGGGCCTGGGGGTCTCCAGCCACCCGACCATCCCCGGTGAGGGCAGGCAGCTCCAGGCGGAGAAAGCAGAATGGAAGCGGGGATGTCTGCGGCTGAGGCCCTCTCCCTCTGTGGAACCCCTTGGGGTACAGGGAGGGAGGGGGACACAAGATAGAGGCAGAAAGGAAGACAGGATGAGCCCGGGTGAGCCCGAATGCCCAACCGGGTCTCCCTTAAAGACCCCCTGGCTGACCAGCCTGGATGTCTCTGGGGTCTTCCCGCCCCTCTCCCCGCCCCAAAGATGGGGTGAGGAGGACCCCACCCGCGCAGGGAGGGGCGGGGCCTGCGGGGTCCCTGGCTAATGGCAAACAGCTGCCGCTCCCCACGCCGGCCCAACCGCCAGGCCCAGGCCCAGCCCCGCCGGACGCCCGGTCGCCTTCCCCGCGCCCGGGGCCTGGTTCGGGGCGGCCGCCGAGGGCGCGGGGAGACGGAGCGGGGGCCGGGGGCGGGGGGTGCGGTGGAGGGACGGAGCGGGGAAGAGGGGAGAGGGGAGGCAGTGACGGGGCGGAGGGGTCGGGCCAGAGGTGCAGATGGGAGAGGAGGACGGGGTGGGGGTGAGGAGCAGGGACGGGGGTCAGAGACGAGAACCGGGCAGAAACACTCAAAAGTCCGCAAAGTTTGGGCTGAGATAGTGGAGTGAGAGGCAGCGGCTGGTCCACACCCGCGAGGCTCTGCCGCGGAGTTGGCGGCGGCGAAGGACCACGCTCGAACCCCGAAGCGGACTCGAACCCCGATCCGACCCCCGGCCCCACTCGCCTCCCGCGCTCCGGCCGCCGCCGTCCCCGCGTCCCGCTGCCCGTGCGTCCTCCGCGCGCCGCCGCTGCCCGGCCTCCGGCCTCGGCGGTGACCCCGCCCCCTCCTGTGGCCCCGCCCCCGCCCCTGGCCCGGCCCCGCCCCCGGCCGCCTGAGGGCTGGCAGCGGCGGGAGACGGGCCGGGAGGACGCGATCGCACCTGGACGGCAGGTGTGTGCGCGCATGGGGGAACCAGTCCGTGTCCCCGCGCCTCCCCTCCGGGTCCCGGACCCCCCGCTGTCCCCCCTCCGGCTGCGGCTGGGCCGCTGCGGGGGGCGGGGAGGGCGGGACTGGCCCGGCCCCAGCTTCGCGAGGGCGCGGAGGGCGGGCAGCGGCGGACGGAGCTCCCCCTCCCCCAGCGCAGCGGCCGAGGCTGGAAGCGGCCCAGCGCAGGCCTGGTACGCGGTGACCGCCCGCCGCGGGGCGGACCGGGAGCTGGGTCAGCTCAAGGCTGCACAGGCCGCAGTTGAGGCCTGGGCTCTCTGGCCGGCCAGACCGGGGCTCCAATCCCAATCCCACCAGGCCTTTAAGGGCTCGGTGCCTCAGTTTCCCCAGCTCTAAGACGGGGTTAAGAATGTGCCTGATAGTGGTGCTGAGGAGATTCAATAACCTACTGGAGTTTTTTGGGGCAAAAAGACCATAAGTGAGGCAGTGTCTTCCTGGGGGCTGGGCAATCAGCAAGGGTTTAATAAATGTTGCTTTTGAAAAAATAAAATAAGCGTTCTATTATTCTCATGTGCATGTGACATTTTCATTTGTGTGTTGCCTTCCTCATCAGAACCACAAACCCCACAAGGGCAGGCATTTGCAACTGTGGTCACTGCCGTGTCCCTGGCACCCAACAGTCTCAGTGGCTGTCAAAGATCAGAGAGTGGATACACGGTGCTCACGTGACCCAACCCCCAGGGACCACACCACACAGGCTTCTCATAAAAAAAAATTTTAAATTAAAGAAAGGTAATAAGTATCAGTGCACAAACAGGAACAGAGGGCCCAGCACCACATGCAGTGGTCACCCCAAGGCGGGCAGACTCCCAGAAAGGCACAGAGCTGAGGCCAGGGTGCTGCTTCCTCTGGGTGTGGTTTTGGGCCCTGTGAGCTCAGAGGTCGGCCTTCCGGAAACTTGCTCTGTTCAAGGAGTTCCTGGGGGAAGAATGAGGTGGGTCAGCATGGACACAGATGCCCCCAACTCCACAGGTGCTCCCAGCCCCCTCCCTCCTCCTCCGCCAAAGCTTCCCTGCTCCTTTCACATGCGTTCTGATCTGGCTGTGGGCTCACAGATTCTCTCCCGGAACCCACCACCAGAATCGCGTCGTGCCCATTTTACGGATGTAGAAACCGAGGCCCAGGAAGATGAAGTTGCTTGTGTGGGACCTGATGCACTAGGACAGTGGTCGGCAAACTGCTGCTCGCAAGCCACATGCAGCTCTTTGGTCCCTTGAGTTTTTGGCAAAGGCCAGCTTACGAGTACCTTAATTGAGTTAATAACAATGTACCTACCTATATAGTTTAAGTTTAAAAAATGTGTTTCTCAAAAGAAGTTTCAATCGTGGTGCTGTTGATATTCGGCTCTGTTGACTAATGAGTTTGCCGGCCACTGCCCTGGGATCGGAAATGATTGCCCAGAGTGTGCATCTGTGCACGTGCCCAAGTAGTCACATCCTTGTGTGCAAAGCCACATGCATATGTCGATGTGCACGACAGTCCCCATCCCGTGCCTGCCTCCGCCGGCCCTCCCCAGGGTGGGGGGCAGGGGTCAGGCACCTGAGGCTGGCCGTGGCCGGCGCCAGCAGCTGGGGCAGCCGCTGGGTGAGCAGGGGCTGCAGAGCCTCCCGCAGGCGGGCGTAGTTGCGCTCCAGCTCGCGATGGTACTCCTTCTGGTCTGGCCCAATCAGGGCCTTGTTCTTGCGCAGCGCATCCTCGCACCTGGGGGCCGGATGGCAAGGTGCTCAGGGACTGGCACTCAGGAGAGAGGAAGCAAGACCGGAGGCGGAGGGGGAGTCCGTGAGGAGGGTCAGGAGCTAGGAGGGGGAGGGGGGGTAAAGTGGGCGGAGCGCCATGATGAGGGCTGGGGGGGCTCTGGAGGGTGAGGTCAGGCCTACTTCTTGCAGAAGTCCTTGAAACAGAGCCGGAGCTTGTTGTGGTGCCTGAAGAGTTTGGGGTCTTCTGGGATCTCTGCCAAAAACACCTGGGCCACCTCCAAGGGACCCTGTGGCGTAAGAAGGCCTTGTGAGGGTGTCTGCGTGGACCCTGGGGGGCCTCGGGCAGCCTGCACACCCCAGCGGCCATGCCTGGTTCACCGTGGGCCCCACGGAGCCCTGGAGCACCATCTGCAGCATCTTGGCATCCGGCGGGTCCTGTTCGGTGGCAAAGGCCAGCTCCCGTGTCTTTTTCTGCATGTCCTCGATGGCCACCTCCACTGGCGTCAACACTGTCTGCAGGGTGAGGGGGCGGCACGCACTGGCTGGGGCCTGGAGACATCTTGGCCCAGGACAGCCCAGGGCAGCTGCAGGGGGAGGGGCCCGCGTGGCTGTGTCATGAACAGCGTGTGAGGGCTCCTGCCTG